TATTGTAACAGGTGGTATAATTTAATAAAATACTTCTCAGAAACCGATATCACATACATATATGTGACATTAAATAAAAATACAAAAAATAGATAACAAAACACATATAACCTATAAATAAATGTAATATTTTTATCAAAAAGTTATGCTACACAAAAAAACGCGGTTGGTTTCTAGCATCGTCAAATAGCGGTCGTGAACGTGTTAAGCATTTGTAGGAATCGATCATTACACTAAGTTTTACGCCACCACTGTCTATATAATTACTGCCTCTGAGTTTTTGACTGAAAAACTTTGTGACAGTTATCAAACTGAAATTAAAACTTTCAACTTTAATATACATACAAAAATGCAGAATATATCTCGTCGATATTCTTTTCGTAAAAGTTTCTAAAAAAAACTTTGCTCTATATCTATTAAAACAAGTTTTCATCGAATAATTATAATTCATTACTGTACCAGACGAGAAGATTCCGAGCAGAAAAAATAAGTAATAAAAAACGCAATTACCAAGTTTCTCACAAAGAAAACTAATTTTCTGCAGACGCTCTACTCAAATTAAAACACTTAATAGATATCTTCGCGGAGATTTCATTCAAAAGCGTGGGACTTAATTTTTTTTTATTTTGTCAACTTATTAATCTAGGTTAAGAGTTATATTTGACACGTAATGCTGATATACAGATAAAAATATATAGCTTCACATAATATGTTGGATTAACCATCTTTTTTAATTATCATAAGTGAACGCCTACCGTGGTCTTCGTGTTGTTCATTGTGTCCTGAAATAGCTATAATTACGAGAGACATTTGAAAGATTCCTACATTTTCGTATGCAGATTTTTTGTCTGCCAAGAAATGGTGCCACGTTATTCTCTATTGTATTTTTATATTTTTCCATCTCGTTTATAAAACGAATTTTTTCATCATGAGTAAAGTTCTCAGCCCGTTTTCTATTATTGCCCTTTTTCTACTTTTCTCATCTTAAATTGAAGTGTAACTGTTACAGTAAGTTTCTTCACAAAATAATCCTGAGATCATTTTCACACAAAAATTTTGTGTTAAATTTTGTTTAAAACTATTATTATTCACAATCCTTATTTTCTTTAAAAAAAAAAACAGAAAAATAGAGGAGTAAAATGAGTTTTGTTCAATATAATTATTTAACATTTTAATTAGGCATTTTAAACAAAATGGTTGCCTGATGAAGATGACACACAAACCTTAATTTACATTGAATTCAGTATTCTGTGATTGAGCTGATACGTGTTTCATTGCAATTTATATTCTTTTTTTTAATTAAAGGAGAAAATGCAATACAGTAGGGGAGACAGTCCTAAAATGACATAGTCTGATAAAATGACATAGGCGGCTTTTAAATTTCCCAACGCACTTTCAAGGACTGTTGGCACCATCTATGGAACAATAGAGTAACTTGCAAGTAACTCATGAAATGTCATCAACGAATTCGCTTGTTTGCGGCTTAAGTAATGATTTGTGTGTTTCAACTGCTTCTGATTTTTAAGCGAACTATAATATAAATGTTCAACAAGTATTAGAAATTAAAAATTAAGAAAAAACCGACTTCAAAAACGTGTAGATGCCATCACCACATCTAAACCAAATTTGTATGGGAACGCCCCTGAGGTACCCCCTTACTAACAAAAAAATAATCATATAAATCGGACAAGGTGGTTTATCGCTAAACATACATAAAAAATGAAGAGTTTGAGGATTTTTTTATGGATCCAATTATTAGATTTTAACCAAATTTATATGCGACCACCCCTAAAGTACCCCCTTTCTAACAAAAAAAGAATTATTGAAATCGGACACCGTGTTAAAGAATTATTGCTGAACATACATGAAAAAAAAAATAATATCGCGACGAATTGAAAATCTCCTCCTTTTTTGAAGTCGGTTAAAAATGTAAGAAAAAATACGTTTTTTGGTTGAACTATTTAAAAGTGCCGTTCTACAGAGAATATAATTATTATTTTAGTGTGCAGTTTTTTGATAAAATTTACCTATATTTTTAGATTGACTAATTTCTTATTAATGTGTTTGTCGTTTAAAATGACATACCCCCATTCATTATAAAACGACATAGGTATATCATTTTATCCCAGTAATTTGTACCTAGGTATAATATTGTGAAATTTCTCTTACTTTCAAAATAGTAGGAAAATACAAAAGGAAGAGCAATCGGCAATCCTGGAGTGAGGTTTCTATGAGATCAATTATCGATGCAGTGCAAAGGGGCGATATGGGGTGGCTTGCAGCTTCAAAACAATTCAATGTTCCGCAAGCTACGTTAAGAAGGCGAGCTCAGAATAAAAACAAAAAATAAAAGGAATTAAAAAAGGCCTTGGACGTTTTTCTACAACTTTTCCAATGGAAATGGAAAATGAACTGGTTGAACATATTAAGTTGTTTGGACTTTTGAGTTCGGCGAAGCAAATAACTTACCACATCGATTTTGTAAAGATAAAAAAATGGCGGGTTTGAGTGGCTTAGGGGATTTCGTATGCGTCATCCAGAAATTAGTTTAAGAGAACCAGAATCTACCTCTGCAGCCAGGGCACAAGCCTTCAACAGACCTCAAGTGACTAGTTTTTTCAACGTCTGGAACAAGTCATGGAAAAATATAATTTTGAACCATATTATATAACATCGACGAATCTGGCCTCTCATCAGTCCAAAAACCACATAAAAATATTTGCCAATAAAGGCAAAAAACAGGTGGGATGCATAACCAGCGCCGAACGTAGTAGCCATACCACCGTAATATGTTGCATGAATGCAGCAGGATCTTTCATCCCCCCTACAGTAATTTTTGCAAAAAAGAAACATAAGACAGAACTGCTGGATAATGCTCCTGTAAGAACGCTACTGCTTTGCCAAGAAAATGGGTGGATAACTGGCGAGCTATTCTTACTTTGGTTAAAACATTTCGCAAAGTTTACTCATGCTTCATTGGAAAATAGAGTATTGCTAATTTTAGATGGTCACAGCAGCCATAAATAATATCCGGCCCTAAAATATGCAAAGAAGAAAGGCATAACTTTAACCTGTTTGCCTCCCCATTGCACCCACAGAATACAACCATTAGATGTAACATTTTTTGGCCCATTAGACACCTACTACAACCAAGATGTTGGCCGATGGACGAAAACTTGATAAATAATGTTGAACATTTCAATAAAACAGATGCCGAAATTATGTGTATTTATTTAATTTTTTGGTCGGACTTTTTGGTTAAAACAGTTTGGGTATGTCATTTTATGACAGTCTGCCCTATAGACTTCCAACTATATATGAACAATATTAAGCTATACAATTCCACTGAGAATCACATAACGTATTTGCTACAATTAATAGAGAGTTTCTCCAACGACATTCGGATGTCATTTGGGCTGGACAAGTGTAGAAGACGAAGTATCGATAAGAGTCAGGTGATTCTCCGTGGATTTGACCTAATTAATGAAGGCTCTATTGCCGCGATAGATCAAGATGACACATACAAATATCTAGGCCTCCAACAACCGGAACGTGTAAACACAAGGAGATTCGATACCGAGTAACGGAGCAATATCTGAGAAGAATAAGTGAAATCCTCAGGACCTCCTTTAATTGTAAAAATGTATTTAAGGCCATAAATACGTTTGCCATTCCAGTTCTGACTTACACGTTTTGAGTAGTGAAGTGGATAGAAACGGAAATTAGGGACATTGAGACAGCCATACGTAAGCTTCTGATAAAAAAACGAATACTCCACCCTAAATCAGCTCTCGAACGTTTAACTCTTTCCCGACATGAAGGAGGACGCGCGATTATCGACATCAGTAGGATGTGTCAGAAACAGGACGCCGCCCTCTACCTAGCCGTAATAAAAACGGACAACAGATACACACCCTTAGACCTACTGCATGATACTAGAGAATTAATCTCGGATGAGACGTACATACAAGGAAATAAACAGGACTGGACTCTATATGGTTGTCATGCCAGCCTCCTCTGCCAGCCGTATGTCGACTCTTAGGCCTCGAATGGATGGTTAGGACGAGCCGACATATTTGCAGATCCACGACCAAGTTATCGCCACCTAAAACTACCTAAAGTACATAATAAGGGCTCAAGTGGAAAATAACTTAAGCAGAAAATGTCACCAACAATCCGAGACCATCAACACATAACAAGCGCTTGCCTAACACTAGTACCAAGTGAATATCTCTCGAGACACAATCAGGTAGCTAAGATTGTCTATCAAAGCCTGGCGAGCTTATATGACCTCCTGAGCGAAGAGATACCATATTGGAAGTACGAGCCTAGTCCTGTCTTGGAAAACTATACGCCCAAGTTGTACTGGGATAGGTCGGTACTAACAGTTCGTACTATAGTCCACAATAGGCCAGCCATCATCATCGTTGATAAATCAAGAAAAAGAGTTTTGTTAATTGATATAGGAATCTTAAATAGTCACACTATCATGACCTACTACGCTGAGAAGGAAGCAACGTACCAAAGACTTGGGCAGGAATTTTAACAAATGTGGCGCCAGGAGAGTGTGTCTATAGTTCCATTGATTATATCTTTGACCGGTGTAGTACCAAAGTCACTCATTAACAATTTGAGGATGCTGGAAATTGCCAACAAAATAGTCCCACTGAACATGCTTAAGAACCATTTATTTTTGGAACAAAATAAAGTTTAATAATATTATTAACATTTTAAAATAAAAAAGATTTTGACAGGTCATTCAATAGACCTCGCCTTACAGGAACGCTATCTTGTGATCATTAAAATATTACCCTCATTATGAGGGAAGTAAGAGAACAGAACCACCTTGTTTAAAAACACAATAAAAACTACTCCATTTCCATTGTAACCGCATTAGGGTATAAAACTTTAAACCATTTGTTCGTTTGCAGACTTCTTAATGCATTTTAAGCAAACACTAAACGCTAACGAGAAACAAAACGGTTAATGACCGTACTTACCAGCTATGGCGAGTTGTCTGATAAAGAAGTTCATCCTGGATTTTCGACTTTTGCTGACAAAAAGTGCAACTAGGACGGCGGAATTACCGAGCACTATCATCGTGAAAAGAACCCACAAAACCGTGAATTGCTCAGCCTGAAACAAAAATTAATTTATATTAACGTATAGCGGAGAATTATATTAATTTTTTTATTTATTTTAAAAAATAGGATACAATTTAACGGTTTTGTTTAATGCATATTACTGATTTTAATTGATTTGGCTATGGCTCAAAATTAATGTTATAATGTTGATCCTAACAATCGGCCAGTACTAATTTAGTTCAGGACTAGTTTAACCTGTTTGCGTGCTAAAATCTACTAAAAACTAATGTTTAGACAAAGCTAGTTTTCTTAGAACCTTAAAAAAACTAAACCCAAATGCGCTGTTTATATAAAACTTCAAAAATATCCTGAAACAGAAAGGAAAAGGTAAAAGTCGTTCAAGAAATGAAACTAGTAGGGGCATCTAAAGTATACAAGCTAAAATTGTATTAATATAACCTAGTCATTGTATTGCAAAAAATATAATACGATTTAAAAAATCGTTTTTAAAAAAATATATATTTTATTCAAACAGAAACATAATTATGTCTTTATTTAATGAATGCTAACATCAGACTGAATGTAAAAAATAAGTATTGTTTAGCACATGTTTGTTGATGATAACCAGAAACTTGAGCTACCGGCTGGTGGGATTCTAGAAATGTCTGGGCACCTCAACAGTTTCTATGATATAATTACTCCCTTCCCAGAGAGATCCATACAGGGTGTGGATCGTTATTCGTCTTCTTCGATATCGATAATGAAAGTTGCTTATTGGGTGATAGGTATTGTCAATTTTTGATTTCTGGACTTCGATTGAAAAACATGATGATGAGGACAACAGCACCCATTTCCCACAGTAGTGTATACCACAGGTGGGTATTGTTTGAAGGGGTATTAAGACTTATTTGACGGAGAGATCTGACTTGGCAGAGCTGATTTGGATCTTGATTTCTCGAAGAAATACTGCAATAAAGTGGGCAGAATTGATTCGTTCAATTACCTCAGAACAATTGGATTGGAGTAAGTTTACATGCAGGAGAGTCTTGATTATTTAATTGTTATATTTCCTGTATACAATCATCTGCATTAGCTTTGGCAATAGATTTCATGTTTGTGCAAAAATATGAGTTCAAATTTTTGAATTATTTTTCCCCGTGTTATTTTGGGTAGGTATTGAATAGAGGTGAAAGTAAGGGGTGGCACAAAATTGATCGAAAACATTTGATCGAATACATTTGATCGAAAACATTTGATCGATTTATCGAATAACAATTGATAAAAAAAAAATGATCGAACAGAAAAATGATCGAAAAGAATAATGATCGAAAAGAAAATTGATCGAAAATAGATTTGATAGAAAAAGCAATTAATCGAAAAACCAAATATTCATAAAATTATAGAATAATAAGAAAAATGAAAACAAAAATTTTAACTAATTTACCTAACCTGTGTGACCTAGAATCATCGCTGGTTGCTTCGCAAAAACAAAAAATAAAAAATAAAATAAAGTTAAGTAACGTACCTAACTAACCCAACTTGTGCGAGAGCAATCAGTTAAATTTGAATAGCACAGGTTAGGTAAATTAGTTTTTTTTATTTTTATAACTTTTTTTGCGAGGCAAACCGCGACGTTTCCAGACTGGAGCAATTGAACTGATTGCTCTGATACAGGTTAGGTAAGTTAGTTAAGTTTTATAAAAATAAATAAAAATAAAGAAAAAACTAATTTACCTAACCTGTGCGGCCTGGGGCAATTTGACTGATTGTTCTAACAGAGCTTAGGTAAGTCAGTTAGGTTTTTTAAAAACTTAACCAACCTACCTAAAACTTAACTAACTTACCTAAACTGTGTCAGAGCAATCAGTTAAATTGCTCCAGGCCATACAGGTTAAGTAAATAGGTTAGGTTTTCTTTATTTTTTTTAATCCAAATAAAGATAAATAACCGTTTAGCTCTAAAATAATTATTTTTAAATTAACAGTATTGTAAGGATAACATTTGTTAAACGAGGTAGCTATCATTTGAGATTATTGAAAAATTTGCCATTAGTACCTAATTTTGATAGCCGCTTAGTTTAGTTTCCCTGGTAGTAGGGATTAGACGGACGGTTGAATGGTATCGTTTTATTTTTTGATATTTTACTATTTTTAAAGTTGATTTTCAATATATTGTCCCTTCGATCTAATGAATTTTCGATCTATTGTCTTTTCGATAAAATTTTATTCGATAAAATATATCTTCGATCAAATGTTATTCGACCAAATGAATTTTCGATCAAATTCCATTCGATAAAATGTATTTTCGATCAAATTTCCAATTCGATCAAATGTTTTTCGATCAATTTTGTGCCACCCGAAAGTAAGAATACATTGCTGGATAGGATCACAAATACTATCCGATTATTAGAATAATAAGAGCCTACTGTAATAACTTCGTAACATTTATAAAAATTTTGTGTACGATACCGAACAATAAGTTACTTCTTGAATATGACTAATAGCAAATTAATGATAAATTCTAAATTTTCTATTTTCAAAATGCTATAGTGTAATGTTTTTAATCTCGCAAATATTATTGACTTTTCTAAATTATTTAAGATTTCATTTAAAATTTTGAGAACTGCATGTACCTGCAGGGCCGACAAGAAGGGGGGGGTAGTCGGGACTAATTCCCGGGGCCCGGGCCCAAGTGGGGACCCGGCAGCTTTAGGTGAGGACGTTTTTTTATAGAAATGTGATATTGCAAGTCAATTTTTTTTTATAAAATTTTTGTCGCGGGGCCCGACCTGAAAAATTGTCCCGGGGCCTGATCTGGCTCTCGGTGGCCCAGTGTACCTTGCTAAAAATATCCGGAAAAGTCGTTTACGAATTTTTCTAGTTCGTTATTAAGATCATTAATTTTTTGAGCCATTTGTATTTCGTTTTGCTTTATTAAAGAGAGACTATTACTGTAATGATCGATTATTTTAGTATCTTTTGCCGTCTTCGGCATCTAGGTTACCCGAAATACTTTTAAATATAGTACCTAGACAGTTTAATATTCCTCTTCCAAGTCTTTTATTAGAATGAAGGTAATTTAATTTTTCTTTGCATTGTTTTATTTTAAGGGGGATTGCATTTATGTTAGTTTTAAGTTTTTATTTTCAATTGTTAAAATTATATTTCCGAATTGAATATTTATTTTAACAAGTTCGGTTTCGATAGGGTCTAAATCAAAATAATGGATAAAAGAATGGTATGTGGATTGTAATTTAGTATATCCTTATTTATAGGGTAATATTTCAGGATTGGATTCCAGACTGTTGATTCTAATTTCTTGGGGTGCGATAATTGTAGCCATGGTGAGGTGAATGTTGTAATATTACATTTTTTGATTAGATAAAATTCTTCTAAATTTATTTTTATATGGCATAGAACAAACTTTGGGATGCTCTTTCGTTTTAAGATGAAGACAACCAAGTCGTGGACCAACTTTGTTGATTGCTCCAGATTCGTGGAACGTGAGTGCGGCACGCCTACGGCTATGCATCACGGATAGATTCATCATATTATCAGAAGAATGTATTACGCATGATATGAGTATATAAGTTCATGTATTATTATTGATTGATTCATTGTTACTTATTTCTTAAAAGTATTAAATATAAGGTGTTATTAGTTCAAAAGGTGTATACTTGTGTTACCCTCACAATATTCCTACATCAGAATGCCAGGATCATACGTTAAAGGTTGTGAATGTTTTTATTAGTTTTATTACCATTTTGTTTAGATAAGTTCATTATGTTTTTTATAAATTCCGATAGGTAGTCATTTCTTTATGATCTGTTTTAATTAGATCATCAATTTCATGTTTGACGCAATCAATGATCTATTTATTAGTAAATTTATAGCTTTTAAAATTATTCTTAACTGGAGGACTAAAACAATATTGGAAAGTATAAGGTCAGTGTTAAATAAAAAAAATAAATAAAAAAATACTGCGGGGGGTTTTAAGAAACCTTGAAAAATTATACCGTCTAGAGACTTAAAGTTTCGAAGAGTTGACATATAAACTTGTTACTCTTATGGTTTTAATTAACTTCAGCCATCAGAGTAATAGACTCTTCCTTGATTAAACTCCAATATATTGGTAAAAAGGGTAGAAACTAAAATCTCAGATACTGACTAGTGTTCGTCACGCATCAACCTCTTCTGCGTTTAGGGTAGGTGTAAGTATTGAACAGATAAGAAATATCGCAAGTTAGACATCTTCTTCTAAAACATTGTTTATATTTTGTAATAAAACTATAAAAAAACGCAATAACAAATGTGTTTTTTTTTTGAGTGTGTCATCGGCTTTAACTGCTAAGGTTATCTCTATTATTGATTTGGAAATTAAATCAATTAATTGACCTATTCTTCTTGCAATAAAATTATTATTGTCATTCATATTTTGGCTAAAAGTAGTTATAAAATTAGCTATAACTGTAAATATTCATTTACTTAATTACGTTTATGTTTTATATAAATAATTATTCAGAAAAATGACTCTAAACGTCTACAATGTAATTATATCAAGGACAAGCGAAGGAAAATTAACAAATTAATCGACTTACCTTGAGGAAGATTAATTATAATTTTCCGAGCTTGTCCCATCCTATCCTAAAATATGTGGATACATATTTAATTCCCAGATATCAGGCGATTTTCGTAACTCGCACTTCAACGGAATGATATAGAAAGGTTTGGTATACGATTAGGAGCAGTGACTATATGGGGCATTTTCTTTCCTCTAATATAATATAATTATATCTACGGGGAAGCTCGGAAAATTATAATTAATCTTTCTTAAAATATGTCGATTAATTTTTTAATTATTGTTGAAAATTAACCTTATTCAGCAGTTACCAAAACTAGATAGCAAGGATACATACGAATTTATAAATAGAAGTTTTGTTGCCATAATTAAGTTTTACATTTTTAACTACCAGTTTTTGCCTGATCATGCATTTGTTAAAAGATGTACTCATATTATTTTTTTTTGTTATTTTGCATTGTACCTAGCTATATT